CGGATTTGTCAAGATATGTGATCTGCTTTTCACACATTATCAGATGGTGGTATCCCCCAGTGTTTCCTGCTAGGTAAGTTTTCTTTCTCCCTGACTGAAGCGGAGTTTGTGTTGTTATTCTTCTAATGGATTATTGATGTTAAAAGATTGGACTTTGAGTTTTCTCCCAAATAATATCTTTCAATCGAGAAAGATTAAAGCCTTATAGAAGAAATACGCTCTATTGATGGCTTTTGTTTTATCTTCAGTGATATTCCCATTTTGTTGAGATTAGTCGAGTATCTGTGTTTACTGTGAGGTCTTATCATCCTTAGTTTATATATTTTGTCTGTTTTGTCAGTATATATATGACATTCATTTATTCATTCACATTTATCTCATTCATGCACATTCACATTTCTCGATGTTTTGGGTGCATCTACTTTGATTATGTTTATCCCCAAGTGACATATTTCCTCTTTCTAATAGAGTGTTGTCGTACCCCAAATTTGCCCTACCTCTTTTTACTTTTGTTCGACTTTGAACTCTGCATCCCATTTGCATCATTCTCAATAAGTCATTGGCATATCCCGCATCTCGTGGAATCAGACGCCTTGGTTTGAGGTATTAGGGTTGTTCCCTATTTATGTCTAATTTTGTTTTGAAGTTCTCTTATCAGGTAAAAGGGAAATTCATCTGGTTCTTGATTAGTGTATCGCGGGATGGATTTTTGAGGTATCATGGATTTCTTTCTCACTAAGTTATAAGGCTGTTTCTCGCTCGAATTCATCAGAGTTGGGGTTAGGGTTTATTTCCCTATTTGTTGGTCAAGATGCTAGGGTTTTGGATCCCTGGTTTTTGTGAACTGTTTCATTCACCTGCCTCAAAGATAACTCGAAGTCAAGTACATTTGGTTAGGGGTTTCATGTCTAATATCTCCTCACACATCAAGTTTTCTTTTTAAGATCTCTAAGTTATTGAGTTAGGAGTTTGAAGTTTAAATTGATAAACATGGAATTCGGGTGTAAGAAATAAGGTTAGAGGTTCATGACGATTAAGGCATTTTTTTGTTGCTTAAGTTACAAGTTACTTGTGGTTTAGATATCAAAGTTAAAGTTCTTGTTGAGAGTGCAATTTTGGTTTAGGCGTGATATGAAGATTGAGGATTGAAAGATAAGGTACAAGGTTCTTGGAATACAAGTTACAACAGTTGTTTGTGATTTCTTGAAATTCAAGTTACAAAGGCAAGATGTGCATTCAAATCATTCAAGTGGGAATTTCAAATTTTTACCAAGTCCAAGAGCTGTTAATTTCTATACAACAAATTTCACCATTAATAAAATTTATTCAAGTTTTCATTCATTACAATTTTTATGGGCAGTTTACAAAGGGATTACAAGTTAATGCAAGTTACAAACATTGTTTTATTTACAAAGAAAGAAAATGTTTTTTTCTTCAAATCTCTTTACTTCATCTTCAAGCCACTCATATCCACCTTGTCGTGGCCTTTTCATCTTACAACCCCGCTTGCCATCCAATCCTAGTGCTAATGAAACAAGGAAAAGAGAAAGTTAGCAACAATCAACATGTGAAAAATTCAAGCAAGAATTAATTTTTAAAAGGATTCTTTGTATCTCATCATTAGGATTTGCACTTGGAATCAGAAATTGAAAAAGGATTTTGTTTCAACTATAGGCTATCTCTTCCTAGTCTGCAAATCACAAAAAGCTTTTTGGTTCACAAAAGGTAAAGAGGTTTGCAAATGTCTTCTTACTGAAAAAACAAGCCAAAACTGCCCAAGGCAGCAAAACAACAACATCAAAATAGCAAACTGCCAAGCAAAACAGAAACAGCAGCCTAAAGCTGCAAAAATAAATGCGAGCAAGCAAATTGTCCAACAGAAGCAATGTCATGACTGCTAAACAGCACAAGGTAAGTCAAAACTGCCTGTTGTACCCCAAAATTTCCCCTCTCATTTTACTCAATACATACTCCTAGAGATCCTCAATTTGCTCAAGTTTTCCCAAGAGTTGACCAGACAAACTCTCTCCTAAGGCAGTGTGTCTCAAATTAGGGTTTCCACTTTCATCAAGATGTGTGGATCACAAAGGCCCCAAATTATTTCCAAGGTCCTAATATGTTCCCAAGATTATCCATGTCAAATTTCAAGCCTTGCACAAGAAGTTTGCTCAATCAACTGCTCAGATGCTTGAGAATCAACTAAACTAGGTCAAAAGTCAAATGTGGCCCACATACAGTCAAACTTCAAGATTTTTGGTCAACATCAAAGTTTTGAAGTGATATACTTCATTTGATCAAGTTTTGATCATGATTCCTCAAGAAATTCTCCTAACTCATCAAAACCCAAAAGTTGCTAAATTAGGGTTTCTTAGGAAAAGTCAACCAAACTTTGACCAAGCATAACTTCTTCATACTTTATCAGATATTTTCCATACAAGGCTCATTTTGAAGAGGATGAAATTACCTATAACTCAACTTCAGCCCACAAGTTCAAAATATCAACTCATAAAAGATATGAATTTCTGCATTATAGGTCCTTTTGAAAAGTCAACAAAAACACCTCTTGGGTCAAAGCTTCTTACATGAACATGGAAGACCCAATTGAGATGAGACCAAATGGGTTGTTTAGCGGACATCGTAAGATTTCTAAAAAGTCCAAGAACACCCTCTTAGGGTTAAAATTGAGGGAGATATGTATTGTCAAAATTGACCAATTTTTGGAAATGTGAATGAAGTCAATATTCATCAAAATGACTTTTTTTCCAAATGGGCCCATGTTTTCTTGTTTGAAACTTGTTCCTAAGATGGACCACGACCCCTGAGCTTATCCACCTATTATTTTGTTATTTTCATTTTTTATTTTGATTTTTTATCCATTTAAATCAAAATAAATCAATTTAAATAGTAGAATAATCAAATAAAATCAAATATTTGATTTTATGAGCATATTATGAGTCCATGAACAACTAGCAAATCAAAAAATTCGTGCAAGAGTTAATTGATTGGAAAAGATCTTAATTTGGTCTATTTTGGAAATAAATCATACAAGGAAAAGAATGAAATCAAATCTCCATAATTTGCAAAGATATGATCAGTTTTTGTTGACCTAAATCATTCTATCATATATACCTAACATCTCTAAAGCATAAAAGAGGGTTTGGGGTCGTGAAAACAAGGGGAATAAATTGCAAATTTTGGAAGAAAAAAAAGTACAAACTGTATTCTCTTCCATAGGCCATTTCAAGTAATTCCAAAGCCAACAATCTGTTCCTGGACGTGTTCTGAAGCCATTCCAATCATCCTCAAGCCTTAAAACCTCCAGAAATCACGCCTCACAGTGCCACGGTTTGCATCTTTTTTTCAAGATCCGTTTTCAATGATTTATCCATCATAAACATGTTTTGATCATATATCCATGCTTGCTATCATATTTGCAATGTTTTTGATTGGTTTGATTGAAGTTTAAGTGCAGGAATGGCACGATGCCATTGTTAGCGTTTTGAGGTCCCAAATTGGGAATTCTATATAAAGGAAAAATTGGACAAAATTAGGGGTACTATCATGCTCAGGAGATGATTTACAGTTGATCCATGTCTTTGGTTTGAATTTATTCTGCTTGTGCTACATTTTTTTTGAATTTTACAGGTTTATGGCTACGAACAAAATCTGTCATTATAGCCTTTAGTGACGGAAACGACTGTAAGTAAAAGTGTGGCAAAAAACAACAGTTATGGGAAAGAAGACAATTAGGTGGTAGAATCCTATTGGGTGATTTGAATCACGCGCGCGTTTGGGAAAGACCACTTTATTTCCTTTATATTTTATTTATGTTATTATATATACAACTAACCATCCTAACAAATTTTGTTTTCTTACTTTGTTTCTACAGATTCAATGCATCATCATCCAAAATGCCTACCATGTGCTACCACCATCTGGCCATTGGATGTATCAATAATTCAGATCCAACGCCTCAAACAATGAAGGACTATGGTGCACTCTCAGGCTGGCACAACACAGGCCCATTCTTTTCTTTTCTATTTTATTTTATTTTTTAATTGTCTTACTAATTATTTTCCTTTATTAAAATACACTACAAGAAAATTAGTGTTTAACGACACAAAAATTGCGACAGTTATGTGATAACTGTCGTAATTGACATATAGAGATAGTGTTTACGACAGTTGACACCAACCGTCCCTAATATTTATTTTGCGACGGTATATTTAACCATCATAATATTATTATTACGACGGTAAAACAACCGTCGGCCCCCATTTAACACTTTTAACATTGATTTTTCACCAACAACTAGTCACGACGGTAAAATTAACCGTCCTAAAAGGCATATCACGACGGTAAAGCACCCGTCGCACCCTTAAACCTTTCACGACGGTAAAATTATCTGTCCTAAAATTCATTTCACGACGCTAAAACAACCGTCGCACCCAAAACCTTTAAAAATTCTCATGGGCACGACGGTAAAACACCCGTCGCCGTAAAAAAGTTAAAAAGCTCTTAAAATACATAAAACATCAATTCATTTTCTACTCCGTAAACATTATAAATATCACTAAATAAAGTTTATTACCACCGTGAGCCACCCTAACCACTCATATTTACTAAGATCTAGGAATATCCCATCCAAGTGAGGTAACTCACATGGACTTTTATGGAGTTTTTTGATAAATAGATTTTAGTTTTTCTTTTTATATTTTTAAAAGACCAGTGTTTCATTTTTCCCATTTTAAAAAACTTTTTTACCTTGCATTTTATTTGCTAGTATATTCTCTAGCAATCCAAGTTCCAAATCATAAATTGCTATTTTTCACTTATCCCTACCGCAAACAAGGAACCCGAAACCCAAACTCTCATTCCGCCACAGACCACTCTCAACTATCTTCAGTTCCTCCAAAATTTTCAAACCTCTTTCGCTTCCTCATCTCACAACCACCACCAATTTCTCAGTTTCGTCAATTTTCGGTTTTCATACCTTCGAAATGGAGAATCTTAACTTAGCCCTTGTTTCTTCCCCTAAACCTCTGCTTCTGGGACATTCCTCCTCAAAAAACGTCTTCACAAGAAGAAAGCCTTTCGCTTTGGGGACTTTTCGTGTTTCTGCTAACTCTTCATCCTCTCATGTCACCAGGGCTGCTTCTAAATCTCACCAAAATCTAAAATCTGGTAATCTTATGAATATGATTTTGGCTTACCAGAAATAGGGTTATTAGGTTATGATGTACTTGAATGAAATGTATGTAATTATATTGAAATTAAAGTTGAATCGACATAGTTATAATGAAAATTTCCATGCAAATTGAATGTATTTCAATGTTTTGCACTCATGTCTGAAGAGGCATTCATAAGTAATACATGCTCGGAATTCAGTGCAGGGGAAGGTCACTGTGCATACTTTTGCTAGCATTTCTTCTTCAAATAGTCAGGAAACAACATCAGTGAGAAGGCTTATGATGTGTTTATCTGAATTTCATGTGTTTGATAGTGCGCATCGATGATTGTTATATATCTTCAATGTAACTTCTTTGATTTCCTCAGGATGGAAGAACAATGGTGGAGAGTAAGACAGCAGACCTGAGATCTCAAGGACTTCGTTGAATCCTTAAAGTCGGTATTGTGTTTACAAGATATTGTCTCTTTTAAATATTGTGTGATACTTCAAGGACTTGTTGAATCCTAAATTGATCGTGTTGAATTGTTGTTTTGGTGGTAGTTGAAGACAAAGGAAAAATAAAAGCTTGAAGTTTGGTATTTTATTTGAAGGAAGGTTTCATCACAACATTTGGACCACCATTCATTTAATGGAAAGAAATATTTTTTATATTCCAATGTCAATATTCATAGGCAATCCCAAGATTCATATATACTTTTTTTTTGTAGTTAATGTTTATGTTTGTATTTCAAATTGCTAAACAGTAATACCTTTCTTGAGTATGTGGAATTAAAGTTCCTTTCTTCTGTTACCTTTTCCAAACCTACTACCTTAGGCAAACACAACTAAAAGCAACTACTCATATAATGAAATTGGTCTATATTGTAGTTATAATTTTATACGTCTGGAATCACTCTTGTTAGATTAGTCAGTTGGTTATTGCATTAGTTAGCTTTTAGACATGTGCTAGAGTTAAGCTTGCCAGCTGTAGCCAGCTGTTGTAACTGACATAAGAGAGTTAGTTATGGTTAGCTGTGCCTATACATAGATGCTACTGCATCATAACAGAATGTAATGTGAAATGAAACACTGAAAATAGAAGTATTCCAAATGATATTCGTGAAATGCCAGACACGCCTTTCATCTGAAGTGTCGGTGCTATATAATGTATGAGTGAAAGTTTGTGAAGGTGTTTTTAATTTACATGAAAGCATACCAAGAAATGACTTATTGAACAATTGAACCTTGGTGTGCAAGCAAACTGAGAGCATGTTTGATTTTCCATACTCTGACCACAGAAATTGAGTTTTTGTGATATGTTTGGTGAATTATTTGAGTCCGTTTGGAAAAGTAAATTTAGTTTCAGAAGCAAGTTTTTTTTTTCTGAGTATGGTTATTGAACTATTAATTTAACTGTTGTGTCTTGATGTTTGACAGATGTTGTCCTGTCGGGTGGAAGTTCAGTCTGAACTCCTGCAGCAAGTGTTGCTGTTTATGTTACAGAATAAGCATCTGGGTATGGTACAAGTTTGTGAGTTTTTAAAGCCCTTGCTGGATTTTTCGATCATAAGATTGTTAGGTTCTGAGTCACCCTCTTCTTCATTTGGATTGCAATTGGTATCGTCTATGGCATCATTCTGTTGCTCATGTCCGAGTGAGTCCACGCCTGTTCTTATGCTGCTAACGGAGTGCCTTAAGTATCTTCCACATGAGACCTCTGAAGTAAGTTTATTAATATTGAGAAGGAGCATCAGAAATATTGGTTAAATTACACATTTTTCTGGTCATTACATTTTGTTACTGTAGTAGGTGAAATGATATAATTATCTTATGGCTGTATTCTTTTTGGGACTCCTCAGGACTATAGGAAATTAGTATTTGTTGTAGAACATATGGTGGAGGCGTATATAGTGGTACTTAAGTCTCTGGCCGGAGAGAAATTGGTATGTATCGTCCTTGTAATTTAATGTTCACATTTGTATTCACTGTTGTCATAATTTAGTTTCCTTGATTATTATTAATGTGATTTATGCCTTTCTCTTGTATTGATCTTGATCCTTGTTAATAGCTGATTGCCGAGGTTCAACTACATGCTGTTGAATTCCTGGGAACAGTTCTGTCTCTGTTGATGTGTCTTCAGTGGCACTCTGGTGGTTATGAGCCCATAATTGAACTCTTAAGGCGATTGTGTTCTGTTCAGAAAGATCTCGGTTTGCAATGGGAGCCTGGTCTGTCAACGATTATGGCGTCATTATTTACAATCCTTGTTCAATCAGAACTTGAGCATGAACAAATTTCTATATCTAAACTCCTCCTCTTAATCCTGAAGTGGAAATACGATAAGGGTGAATTTTTATTATAGCTATGCCAGTTTTAGGGTTTATGCAATCGTTAAAATTGAACTCATGTGGACAAAAGCATGGATTTCTTTTACTGAAATGAAAACACTTAAAATTTTCAAATTTTCCTGAGTCCTAAGTAATCTACCCCTGGGATTCATATTTCATAATTTCATACAAACTGTCTTTAAGGACTCTGAATACCTTATATAGTTTGGACACAAAACTATCTTCTATTGCAACATTTATTTGTGCCCTAATTTTCTCATGCTTAAATTCATAAAATGGTCCATGTACTTATGCTCCTTTGAAGCTCACCCTCAATCTCATCATTTTATTTATTTATTGTAATAATTGTCTATGCAGATGATGCTATTGCCACAAATACGTCTTCTCCATTTGAAGAGGTTTTGTTTCTACTTCCCTTTGTCAGCCTCATGTCATCTCCTTCTAAATATGTGAAAGCACTGGCTACTGATTTGCTTCTCATCTTGGAGAAGCTCCTTCTCAAGATGCTGGTGGCCGTAAGACATAAACCAATCATTGATGAGGAAACTCATTATATTAGCACACCTGGAATTATAGTGTTGAGACTTTTGCGACATCTGTGGTATCAGGTATTTTGTCTGGCATATCAGATTTTTCCTGTTTAAAATACTATGTAGATTATCTCAACAAATGATATTTATTTCTGTTCTGGATGGAAGCATTAGTATGCTGTTGCTCTGAATGAACATATGATTATATGCAAATTTGCATGTTTTGTGCTTACAAAGAGGGCATCCAATTATTGAGAATCAATACTAATTATAGTTTTGCACCCAGCAATAATTTTAGTTTAGAAATTTTATGCTTATGTTGTTTCAGGATGGAGAATCTTCTTCCAGAATTTCCCTTCTGAATCTGGCTTTAAAGGGCACGCATGAAAATGAAGTAATGCATGATAAACCAATATCATGGGCTTCTCATCTAAGAGGGTTCTGTTTGTCAATTGTTGAGCGTCGGAAATCTACATCGCCTCTCTTGCTTCCTCAAGAATTATTCTTAACCGGTATAACCCTTTAGCTTTTGGAAATGGCGTTAGTTAGCATAGTTGTGTTAAATGATGTAATGATGTAAGAGATTAATATTAGCTCAATGTCTTCCCTTGCAGAGACACCCTTACTCAGTGCTGTTCTCAGTGTTTTGTTGATACATCCATCGATGGGGGCTGCTGCTGTTGACTCGCTGTCTTCCATTGCCATTATGGATCCCAAACTAGGAGTTCCTTTGTTGCTAGCAATTATGTTCTACAGTAATATATTCACAAGAAATGATATCATTTGCCATGATATGCTGGTAAGTCCTCCCTTTTGCAATGGCACTTATTGTGTGGCATTATCTTATTCTGTTGTCTCTGTCAATTGTTATGTCTGTATAATTTTTTTCCGTACCTTATTTTTAAATCTTGTTGCAGCTAAAAATCTTTGAAATGCTGCCATCACTTGCTTCACACTCAGCAATGACTCCACTTGTAGTTCAAACAATCTTGCCAATGCTTAACAGAGATGCAAAAGGGTGGGTACTCTGTTAGATTGTGTATTTTATTTGGTATAATATTTTTTTTTAAAATTTTTTTTTGTATTAGTGTTGCCTTGCGTATCTTGTTTTTGTTTTCAACCATGTTGTACCATTGAGGTCCCTTTTTTAAAAATTCTGAAATTAAGCATCAGTGTTAATAAAGGCCAAATTTTGTGCATAATTGCTATTCTTATCGATTATTTTCAGAAGTGTTACTGGTTTTACATATTCTTTGCGAGTGATTTGTTCTATCTGTAGCTGTGCTCATATGCCATAAAAAAGTGCTCTTTGAAATTTGGAACTCTAAATATGACTGTACAGCTGAATGTTTCTTTTCACTTCATTAATAAGATGATGTTTGGTTTTAAGATAGAGAATTCATTTTGGTTCTCATTTTTTATTCTGGCTGTAGAACTCAAATTTGGTCCTCGTGTATCCTTTAAAATATTGAAACCAATGCATTTCTTATTTAAATGTTTCTCCCAAAATGCAGCTCATTGTATGCTACGGGAACTCGATTGCTGTGTCGAACTTGGGAGATCAATGATAGAGCCTTTGGAAGTTTACAAGTGAGCTTTTTATTCCACACTTTCTTGTACTTCTCACGCCACCACATATTACTATGGGTGTATTCTATATGCATATTTATGTTTATTTTTTGCAGAAGATGAGACTATTTAAATGACAACTGAAAAAAGAAATGGAATTGTTCACACGATGAATCAAAAGCTGTGAATGTTTGTTAAAAATTATCTTTAAGGAAGGTTGAACACATTGACGCAGTAGCAGCATTCCATTCTGACAACAAATTTGCACTTTTTCCGCACCAGTATACTGTATTGTTGACTAGTGCAGGGTCATAAAAAGTTTTGCCCAAATTTACTAGTTTTACTTGCAATCTGATAACTTTTGGTTTTCCTGTATTTTCTTTCTGGGCTGCCTATTTCAAAGCCTTTTGCTGTTGAGTTACCAATTTTGTTTACTCTTTAATACGGTTTCTTGCTGTTTCTTCAAGGTCTTACCATATCAAACTTTTCCTAAATTTATTATATTTTCTCCATGTCTAGGGTGTCTTGCTTCCAAAAGGTTTCACTGATTTCACATCAGACAGAGCTATCTGTATCAGTTTGGCTGCTTCAATCCGAGATGTTTGCCATAAAAGCCCTGATAGGGGTGTTGATCTTATCTTGACTGTTTCGGTATGCCTGGCGCTTTTCTTTTTTCTCCCTTTCCAGTGCATGTGTTTTTTTCCTAAGAAATACTTGTTTGTATTGAATAAAAACAGTCTTGCATTGAGTGTCAAGATCCTATAGTTAAAGCTCTCGGCTTGCAAAGCCTTGTCCACCTTTGTGAAGCAGATGTGATTGGTAATGGATGTCACTATCAAAATATATATAACAAAATAATAACATATTAAGGAATGTTTACTTATTCATGAAGTCTTCATAGTAGATTGCCTACTTTTATTTTACTTTTTTAATGTAAAATGTAAGCCTTCTAAAAGGGAATACTGTATCATGTGTCTAGATTTTTACACTGCATGGGATGTCATTGCAAAGCACGTGCAAGGTTATAAAGGTGATCCTATTATTGCACATAGGTAAGCATGTCTAAGGCTCTAATCAGGCATATATTGTGAGACTAACTATAACATCGACGGTGGTTTAATTTTATCCAGAAGAATAGAAGGCATGGTTTAGTACCTAAAATATTTGAAGTTTAAAATCCTGGGCTTTTGTCATTCATTTGGTTTTTAAAATTTTTGGGTTTTTTTATAGAACTTCTTTTAGGTAATGAACTTTACGTCTGTATCAGACTTCGATGGAATTGTTTTCTCCCCTTGATTAATATATGTTTCCAAATATTCATTTGTTATCCTGAATAAAAGTCACTTCCTGTCTTATGGCAGCACTTGCCTTCTGCTAAGGTGGGGTGCAATGGACGCAGAAGCATATCCAGAAGCATCAAAGAGTGTGCTGTTAAATCTTTGGGATTTAGTTACCTCTAGCCATGGCACAAAGTGGGAAAAAACAAAAATTGCAGCCCTGGAGGCACTTATTCAATATGAAGTATAACATTGATGCAACCCTTGCTCTACTTGAATGGACAACTAATTTTTGGTTTAAAAATAAGTAATTTACTCTTTTTACATTAATAACTGTGTTTTCAATTTCTAGGTGGCGCAATTTGAAAAAAATGTTCCAGATTTTAAGAAAATGAATTTGGAGCTATTCTTTTCTGAGACAAGTCCCACAGTACTCAAGGTTATGGAGGATTTTCATGTCAAGATTATAACATATGAACACATGTAAGTATTAAATCCCATGAAGCACGGACTCCGACATGAACACTTGGACACGACACAGACACTCCGATACTGTTAATGTAAAAAACATAGGACACTGACACCGCTACATATATGATATTATTTGCGATCAACTTCGTCTGAACTTGGGTTGAACCTTCCTTTACATGAGGTACTGCTAACTCTATTCCAATGGAAGACAGATATATTAATTTGACGCATTTAAAGTTAAATTTTATGAGTATTATTTTAAAGATTATTATTTTAATACCTTTTTTTAGGGATTGGAATCACCCGCTGATGGTAGACGTTCATCTGAGTCTAGCTACCGTATTGGAGATAATGGAACTTCAGGGGGGACAAATTAGACTTTGCTATGATCGAGATAATTAGATTGTGAACTTTCTCATGTATTTTTGGCATAATGATACTTATTATTATAAGATTAGGAATTGATATATTTTGGGTTTTTTGTACTACTTGACATGATTATGGAACTCGCATTTTACATGATTATGGAACACACATTTTTTTGGATATTATAATGCTTATTTGATGTTAAATATTTTTTATTGAAATTATTTTTACTATATTACAAAGTGATAGAAAATAAAACAAAAAATAATACTATAAATAAATATATTAAAGAAGAAATAATTTAAAGAAAAAAAGAACACAAAAAAAAACTATATTTAAATTTTTTTACATAGATAATAATTTAAATAAAAAATATATATAATAGAAAAATAAAAAAAAATCAAGACATAAACAAAAGTCATGGCGACAGTACCGAACCGTCGCCATAAACAATTTAATCAATTTCAAAAGATATTCACGACAGTATCGAACCGTCGCCATCAATAATTAAAAGAAACTCAAAAGATAGTCACGACGGTATCAACCCGTCGTAAACTTGAACGACAGTTTTTGTAACCGTCGCGAAATAGGTTGGGGACACACACTTCTGCGACGGTAAAGCAACCGTCGTGGAAAGCAAATTGCGACGGTTTTAACCGTCGTAATCTACAAAAATACCTGTCGCAACCTGCCAATTTTCTTGTAGTGATAACACCAAAAAATCATTATTTTTTATTTAATCAAAAAATCATCAAAAAACATAAAAAATCATTTTTTTTCATAAAAATATTTTATTTCCTTAATTAATCAGTTTAATTTAATTTAGGTCAAATTTAATTCCTTTTTTATAATTTAAATTAATTAGAAATTAGGGTTTCAATTTGTACATAACCTAATTAATTTTTCTCAAAAAAAAAAACTAACCTAAATCTTTTTTTCAATTAGAATTTTTAGGTTTCCTAAATTATTCTCGCATTTAATTCGCCGCGTGCATTTTTTAATTTCCTCTTATTATTATTGTAATTGTTTCGAGGTTGTAATAGTAATTAGGGTTTAAATTCCGCATTTTTATTTTCAGTCCAAAATAATTATGTATTTGCAAAAGCCTTGTAATAGCTAGGACTTTAAACTTCCTTGCTTTTAATTCCGCAAACTATAAACTGCTTAGATGTATGTTAATAGGATTGTATGGAAAGACAAACTGAAAATTAATACGGTAGAAAAACCTAAATATGCAAAGATAAATTAACTGAAAATTACACTCGCACATGCTCACTCCTAGGGTTTGCCTCACTTGGTTGCCTCAGAAATAATGGTCGTGTCCCTCGAACGTAGGGATATCTTAGCAAAAGACCCTCAATCTAAAAGTCATCATAAAGATCATAGTCTCTCAATGTCCCTCGAGTTGCCTACGAGAAATGATCTTGTCCCTCGATGTTGCCTACAAATATATGATGACAGTCCCTTCGAACTGCTAAGGTATCCTTACACGTTGCCTTCAATGACCATTTTGTCCCTTTCGATAGTCCCTCAAACTCCAACGGCGGTGCTACCTATTCCTTAATAATAGGATAGCGCTGTCTAAAGGAAAACAAACAGTCTTTTTCGAGTAGGTAGATTAGTTCTTAAGTACTTGCTCAAAACAAACAAACTTTTTTCACACCAAACACTTTTCAAACAAAGTTTTCAAAAACAACTTCGTAACACTCTTGAGGACAGAAACAAGGGTTAAAACAAAGTAAGACAAAACTTTTCTAAACAAGCACACACAAGCAATTTCAAAATGAGCAAGTACCTAAGCGCCCGTGGAAAACCACAGATAGAAAGGGTGCTAACACCTTCCCTTTCTATAATCTACTCCCCGTACTCAGAAACATCTCGAAAAAGGTTTTTTATGTTCTTTTTCCTTTTCCTGATTGGATAAAATAAAAGTCCGTGGTGACTCTTGCTTACCACGACATTTTGCGAACAAAAAACACAAACTAGTATAACAGTCGGTTCTGCCACCGTATCACAGAACTGGCGACTCTGCTGGGGAAAATTAATAAAGTGGGGTTTACCTTAGGATCTAGGCCATTTTTAAATTGCTTTCTTGTTTGTTTTTCCTGCTTTATCTTTAAGGGTTTTTGCTTGGGTATTATTGAAGATCCTACACCCAGATCTGGGGACACTTATTAGGTAAACAACAATAGATCGTGGAGACTGTACGGTGTATACCGATATGGTTTAAGCGATGGTTGTGTTAGTGTGGCACTTTGGTTGGTACCGGTATCCTTTGTGGGGAAACGAGGAGAATACGGGGCTGTCGCGTGGTGTCGTGAAGCCCTAACGGACCTTAGAACCTTAGTTGAACAAACTTGGCCATTAGAAAGTAGTGAGATAGCCGGCCTCGGTGTAGAGCTGAGGATTGGTTGATACTCGATGCTACACTCATTGAGATCAGACTTTCGGGATATTTTGGCTGCAAGAAAAGATAACTTGAGCTGAGACAATGCCCGGTAAAGGATGGTCAGTGATATTGAGATCCCTTAGAACCCGATTATTATTTATAGGACAAGCTGAACTAATCCAACTTCAAGAGGGTACTACCTTAAACTCAAGCAAGCCTTAAACCTAAGGACTTGGTGTGATTTGTTTGTGCTTGTTATACCTGTGATTTCTCAACATAATCATGACATCATGACATCATAAACATGGCATATCATACTAACCATTTCAAGGATCTCAAGGGTATGTGATGTAGGTAATGGCGAACCAGACATCTAGCAAGGGGCAAGGGTATTTATTTTCCTCTAGCCAATGTTGTCAAAGGATCTTGAGTCAGGGGCTATGACCCACTCGATATGGTGAGCTTAACTCTTAAAGAAGGACTCTCAATGACACGAAGTTTCTTCAATCAAGTTGCAATCAAATTTTAACAGTTTCTTGTTTACCCCGCGAGATCTTTGAAAACATTGCATGCATATCATACACATCTTTATAGGTACCATTACATGTTTCTCATATTCTTCGCTGTTTATTTAAGCAAAAATGTCTTCCGAACAAAGCATCAAGGACCTTCAGGCACAAAATGCCCAGTTCCAGCAAATGTTCATAAATTTGGCAAAAGGCCAGGAGGATCTGAAAACCCTCATCATGAAAGAGAAAAAGAAAAAGAAGAAGGTTGTCGGTATTCTGAATATAGGCAGAAGGTTTAGAGGGCCGTTGAAGCAACAAGTTAATCTAACCTCTTCATCTAAGGAAGGGGAGAATCAAGAAGAAGAGACAAGGGAGAAAGATCCCAGTCCTGAAGTTTCTGACAATGATACCGACTATAATGATGAGAAATATCCTCACACTAAGGATAAATACAAGCAGTTAGAAGATCGCTTGAATGCTATGGAGGTCTAGAGGATACCTGGGTTGGATTTCGAAGAATTGGGATTGGTGTCGGGAGTGGTCATCCTGTAGAAGTTCAAAGCTCCAATTTTTGCAAAGTATGATGGGGTGTCCTGCCCAAAACTCCATCTCCGCTCTTATGTCAGAAAGATCCAGCCCACACCATTGATAGAAATTTGTGGGTTCACTTCTTTCAAGACAGTCTGTCAGGGACTCATCCTGAATGGTTCTACCAACTAGAGAGAGCCAATGTCCGAAATTGGGAAGATTTGGCTGCCGCTTTTTATAAGCAGTATCAATATAACGTTGACCTTGCCCCTACCCGTACTCAACTCCAGAGTATGTCAATGGGCGCAAGCGAAGGTTTAAAGGACTATGCGCATAAATGGAGAGATCTGGCAGAGAGAGTCCAACCCCATTTGTCTGATAGGGAGTTGGTGGATATGTTCCTTGGTATGCTGTCTGGTCCTTTCTTCAATCACTTGATTGGTAGCTCCTCAGTTGGTTTCACTGAGCTGATATTGATTGGAGAAAGAGTAGAAGCTGGGATCCGGAGTGGAAAATCCAGAAAAATACCTCTTCGAGTATAGAGAAGAAGTCATTTGGTGGCAAGAGGGAAGCCAATGTTGTGCATGGCCAGAAGGGGCGTAACAGGGCAGACTACCACCAATCTGTGGGGGGAGTGCTGATCTCTAATTCAGCACGCGTACAACGACCATAACAACGAAACAATCATCCAAGGGTGGAAAGACCTCAAAGGCAGTTCACCCAAATCAACATGCCATTGTCACAAGCATTGCAACACATGTTGAAGATGAATCTGATTATGGTGATAAACCCTCATCCGAACCCTAAGACTTCTTCTCCTAACTACAACCCTGATGCAAGGTGTGCTTATCATTTTGGTAGCTCGGGGCATGATACTAACGATTGTTGTGCACTGAAATACAAGATTTAGAATATGATTGACGCCAAGGAGATCGAATTCGACCCTCCTGAGACTCCCAACGTGATCACTGCTCCCTTGCCAAAACATGGCTAGGATTGAAAGCATTTTTATTCATTTGAATTCTGAAGTTGTATTTTCTTTGCTTATTCGAACAATTATTGTCATGTCAAACTTTGTTATTTCATCAATGCATTACACATGTCTGTCTTGAATTAATTTGTTTTCATTATGCTTAAACTGCTTTATACTTCCTTTTCGTGATATTCAACTCTCGACTAAAAAACTGTAAGCCTTTAGAGGGAGGATGACGAAAATGATACCAC